CACACACACACACACACACACACACACACACACACACACACACACACACACACACCCTCTGATCTTCGCAAACCTTGGATTTTCCGTGTTGCTATGGCAAATTAATTAGTAGAAATACTGTAAGTTTGGCTTTCTTTTTTATGAATTTCACACTAGATACACTCTAGAAAATTACTGCAGAGTCACAGGAGGAGAAATATGATAGGCCACGGCTCCAAAGTAAGGTTCTAAAATTCAAAGTTGTGCTTAACGAATGGGACAGTGTCCACTCGCCTTCTCTGTGCCGGTTCCTCAGGAATTCTCTTCCCACGGGGCTAATGGCTTTCCAAAGCTGTAAAAGCCTGCTGTGTGCACTCTCTGTTCATAGTCTGAAAAACACAGATTAATTCTTCTATCTTTTCAGTGCACAGAACATTGGATCTTAAAAACCCTTCTATGGAGATCCCCGGCTAAAGATTGGAAATGTCCCACCATCGAATGAGACTAGGCGGGAGGCATACACCTTGAATCCTGAGACTGAATCAAAAGGCACTGAAATAATTATCCGATTTCCCGGCAGGATTCTGTTACAAGCTTTGGGTGCTTTCTGTCTCACGAGTTCGATCGACCCTCCTGCGCACAGCATGTATGTCAACCGCATGTGGGTCTAGAAACAATCTGCCTCCACAGTTTCCTACATGTGGTTCTTAAGCAAATATTTGACCTCTTCACACCATAGTCTTTGTTTCCCCCTGCTCAGTGGCCTTTTATAACTTTATTGAGGTATATTTATACCTCATAAAATTCACCCATTTTCAGTGTAAAATTTAATGATCTTTAGTAATCTTTACTAAGTGATGCAACCATCACCTTAAGTCAGTCTTAGAACATTTTCAACCTCCAGTAAGAGCCCCTGTGCCCATTTGCAGTTAATCATTCCCACCCCAAACCTTGGGCAACTACTAATCTGCTTTCTGTATCTAGAGATTTGCCTTTTATGGCAATTTCATATAAATGGGATTGTAAAATTCAATCTGTCATGTCTGGCTTCTTGCACACAGCATAATGCTTATGGGGTCTGTCCATGTTGTCGCGAGTGCTAGTAGTTGTGTTTTTTTAATGCTAAATAGTATTCCATTGTTTTTAAGATCTGCACAAGAGGCCATCAGATCTGAAGTGCTGAAGGAGAAAGATGATCTTTATCAGCCAAACCTGGCTACATGATTAAATACATTTATGTTCACACTGGGCAACGGCAGTGTGCTACCCCTTGCCTGGGCTTATTTCTCTGATTAATAATCCCCTGCGTGGTTGAACGTGATTTTAATATGCCACGACTGGCACCTTTATTGGTCTTTCTTTGAATAAAAATAGCCCAATTCCCAATAAAAATGTTCATTTGGGGTAAATTTAATAAAACTATTGTCCCCTGTTAGAGTTAAGTGGGGTAATTGAAGAGGAGTCCCCTGGTCTGTCACCAGATTCATGACCTCCTTCTGCCTCCATGGGGAGCTGAACGCCGTCAGTGCAGCTCTGTATGTGACCCCAGGTGGTTTCCACTGGCATCTAGTTGTGTTTGCGGTAACGCCGTCTTCTTCTCCTTTATGTACCCAGGCCTCCCCCCATCTCACCCCCGGCCCTTTGTCTCCTGGCCCCAAAGACCTTGCTTACACTCCAGGAGCCAGCATCGTTTCTGTTATATTAGCTCAGAGCCTCCTGAGGCACCATGAGTTTCAGGCGTGATTATGTATTATTTAGCACTTACTGGAAGACCTAGAAACACCATAAATGTAATTCAAAATGGTGCAGCTGGGAGGCTTGTGAACCAAATAGCCCAGGTCAGGCCCCTTTTCTGATGACCATTAAGCCCGTGGCAGCAAAGACGGGCCAGTCATTGCACGGAGGCGAAGCATATCACTTCCTAAAAGACAGTAGCAAAGGTGTGTTTGTTCTCGGTTTCTTACAAAGCACTTCCTGTGTTTCCACCCCAGTTCCCTCCAGGGGCTTAGTTTCAGACATCTTCTGCATGAATCAGTCTTCAATGGTAAACACGATCTATCTATTGAGCAGGTAAGCACAAGGGACTGTCAGTCTTCATTAGAGTGTCCCCACCTCAGATGATGCAGCATTGAATTTCTTTTTGTGGGCAAGGCCCTTCCTCCTTTAGCACAATGATCATTATAAAGAAGAAAATGTACTAAGTACAGTTCGCTCGTCATTGATATTCTGCATTTATTTCCTAAGCAAAGAATTTGTCACTAGGAATTGATTTGCATCCCTGGGCACTGCTTGCAGGCACTTAATTCTTTGATTCAAATAAAACTTTAAAATGTGATCTCCGTGACATTATGTCAAGAGAAACGTGTCAAAAACAGTATTGGGAGAGGCAGCGTTATTGTGCCTAGAGATCATGTCTGTGCTTTGTGGGCAACAAAACAAACCATGGCGGTAGGAATCCATTTTTACAGACTTTGCGAACAGCAGAGGCCGGTTCTGCTCTTCTGGGTCTCATTGCCTCTCACCATCCTGCCACCCAAAGCTCCTTCAAGTGTGAAGCCCACGTCTGATGGCATGTCCTGCTTAAAGCTCTGCAGGGTCTCCTGACTCCCACTGACCTGCCGGTCAGCCGCTCCCGCGTCCACCCTGTGCCTTCCTCTCTGGGCTCAAGCTGCTCCACTACGACTGTTGTTTCAGCAACATGCTGTTTTTCTCTCTCAAATCTTACTTTTGGGCCTGGAGGACCCTTCATCTCTGCCATTTATTAGGTGTTTGACCTCGAACAAATTACTTAAACCTCACTGGGCCCTGCTTTCCTCATTTGTAAAATAGGAGCGTAAGTGCAGCCTCTACTAACTTGTGGAGGGCTCAGAGTCCCCCCCGGAGAAATCCCTCATGCTCAGTGGAAACATCAGTGACATTAGCATTATTTTGTAGTTATTAGTGTCACCACCCTTCAGAATTTAACCCGGCTGTCACCTCTGCTAAGCAGCAGCCCCTTACCTCACCGTCCCAAAGACAGAATTACCTCCTTGTACTATGCACTTACTTCTTTATTGCCCTTTTCATATCTTTTTCTTATTAATGTGGTCCATGATGTGTTACAATGTTGCTGGGCAATGAAGTTGTCAGCATGGAAAAATGGGTGTGAGAATGGTGCAGAGAGACCTGGTAATTCATGTTTATGGACCTCCTGCAGTAGTGTGGTTAGGATATGATCATTAATGATATGTGAATAAATAGGGTTTTCTTTTTTTCTGGGCTTTATAGCAGTTAATAAGTGCTCACTATATGTCAGTCATGACGTTAAATATTATACTTATGTCACATTCATTCTTCTCTCTGATCAAATGTGGTCACATATCCTGAGAAGACTGTCACTATGCATGTGGAAACTGCGGGACCAGGGCCAGAGAGCTGGGGACACCCGACCTCTGTAGCTCAAGAGCAATGTGCTTGGATGGATAAGGCATCATGTGCCTCTGGGGCTGTTAAGTGTGTGAGTGTATTTAATACTCTTTCTTTCTGATTCTATTGCAGGTACTCCTTTCAGGACGAGGAGGACATGTTCATGGTGGTGGACCTGCTCCTGGGCGGGGACCTGCGCTACCACCTGCAGCAGAACGTCCGCTTCCAGGAGGACACCGTGAGGATCTTCCTCTGTGAGCTGGCCATGGCCCTGGACTACCTGCAGGGCCAGCGCATCGTCCACAGGTTAGTCAGGCCCCAGGGGACATCCTTGGATGGAGCGCCCCAGAGAGAATCCTCCACCTGCCGCGTTCAACGCGTCTTTTTTGAACATGACACGTAATCCTCCTTCAAATCTGCCAGCAGTCCCTTGAGGTAGGTTTATTGTCCCCATTTGGCAGTTAAGAAAAGGAAAAAGAAAACTAGCACATTGAACTTAATTTGCCCAAAGTTGCAGTTACTGAACGAGACCAAACTCTATGAATGTTGGCACCACTTATAACTAAGCCCTGACAAAGAGGAGAAAGGGTGACATACAGGAACTTAAATATTAAATGAATCAATTGAAATACAAACGGAAGACACACAGACATACATGGAGGGAATGAAGTACAATGGGAAGGGATGAAAATTTTCTGGGGAGAACATGTGTGTCCTGTCACCTGCCTGCCGCCCGCCCTGTTCTGAGTCCCTGCGTGTGCGCTGCAAGCAGAGGTCCACAAAGAGAGTGGGTCTCCTTCACTTGGGGCATTTGTATTAAAAACAACAAATAAATAACCCAAGTAGCCGTAAAACCAAGCAGACAATAGAGAGAAAATGATAGTACTTTATATTTGTAAAGAAATTGGAAGTTTTAATGATGATTTTCATTTGGTGATATCTCAATTGTAACTTGTAATAGTGATCAGAGCAGGTATAGTTTGACCAGTATTTCGTATGAGAAAATTGTGATTTGGAGAAAAATATCATCCACGTTGCTTATAAGAATTTTAAACCTAATAACCATCAAAACAGCTACTATTCACTGACAACTTTTGCCAGACCAGACACTCCTGGGTACTTTCACGATCATCTTACTAAATTCTCAGAACTCAGGGAAGACTTCACACGGGAGCCGAGCATCCTAATCACGCACACGTGGAAACTGCGGCTCAAAGATTTGCCGGCGACAAATAGTTGACGAATGGCGTGGCCGGGATTTGAATCCGGGCTTCTCTGATCCCAAAGGGAGCTCTTCCATACCAACTTTCATTAGGTGCACACATGAAAGACACGCCTTAGCTAAGTAGACGTCATTACATGGAAATCAACATGTGAGACTGCAACTGTTGTCATCTCCAGTCTCTGAAGAATTTGCTGCCTTTTTAAGTACAATTATGTTTCATTTAGTAAAAATTTGGACGGGTAATCTACTTGTGCACTACCAGCTGATATGTCCCTAGAATTCACCTGGATTAGTACAGAGGCTGTGGGTGAAAATGTGGCGTCATGATTTATAGATTCTCCATGCAGGCCCCGTGGCCCAGTCCTTTCCCATGTGTGGGGCTTCGGCTTGGTGCACTTACGTAGGTATGATTTAATTTCCTGTCTATGGAAGAGCCTGTTTGTATTGGAAATGTGCTCTTCAGGCAACAGATACACGGAAAACAGACCAGTTAATCACGTGGGACCTTGGAAGTGTGTGTACACATGTGGTGTTTTGTCAGTAACTGGGGATCCTCTTAATAAGCAGTCTTTCTCGCACACTGGCTTTCTGGTCCCCCCCAGTTCTCTGAGGAGAAACTCTTTCTGTTTGTAGTCTGGGGCAGGCCTCCCAGCACCCCCTGCTGGGTCCCCTTCCGCCACAGTGCCAGCCCACCGCCTGCGGTGGCTCCCAGAAAGGGGACAGGCCTGCGAGAAGCCAGCATGGCCTGAGGGCACCTTCTGGCTTCCTTCTTTCCCAGTCCAGGTTCCGGCTCTTCTTTCTCTGGGCTTTATTGTCTCTGTCATCACAAGTCGAGATGCTCTGAGCATTTCTGCCATGTGCTTAGAACTATGTTCCAAAAGGAACTCAGAGAAAAATACAACAGATTTATTTACCCTCCCGGAGCAAATACCAAATACTGTAGTTCTGTGCTTCACTCATTCTTTACTGTCCTCCGCATCCCTTCGCCACTTACGTAAGAAACCAAGGGTCAGCCTTGTGCTTCTCACCCTTTACACACCCTGTGCCAGGCTTCAGAAGGGCCTCTTCACCCCGCAGGTGCCTCCTCACCATGGCACATGAATGGAAGGCGAGGACAGCAACATTCTGAACACTGTTCAAATGAGGTGACATCCGCCTGGGGTCAAACACAATTCAGGAGTGATTCTGTTCTCGTAAGGCCCTACCCACAGCGCCGTCTTATATGTTACAGGCCACTGGAGCATCTTGTACCTCTCCTAAGGACTCGTGACCTTTTTGGTGTGTAATTATTTAATCAATGTCTGTCTGTTCCACTGAGTTAGACCTGAGCTAGGACCATGTGCCTTTTGCTTTTCATTGTAATAACCAGTGCAGCAAAAATATGAAGGAATGAACACTGCCTGAACAAAGGGCTGATTGACTAGAAGCCCAAGTTTACAAATAACAAAAACAAAATAAAAATATAGGGTAGTAAAGCCAAAAATTTCAGAACCACCTTGACCTTCATGTTGGGCGATCCTATAATTTATCATCCAAACCAAGGTAACTCCTGAGACTGGAAAGAGTCACTATTAATAATTATGCTAAAGTACAACACAGAGAAGAGAAGTAGTGACTCTATAGCATCTCACCATGCTGATGGACAGGGACTGTAATAGGGTATGGGGGTGCTTGGTGATGGGGGGAGTCTAGTAACCACAATGTTGCTCATGTAATTGTAGATGAATGATACCAAAAAAAATTGGGAATCTAACTTTAAAAAAATAATAATAATTATGCCAGGACAGTGGGAAAAAAACAAATGTTTCAGGAAAATCAGGACATCTATCAACATCGTGAAGGCCTTTCAATACAGTCGTCACCAAATAGCTGTTGTAATTTGAAAGAGCTTTAATAATGAGGCCTTTCTACTTCTTGAGTACCAGCTATCAATTTGAAATATCAATTTGAAGTGGTGCTGAACGGCTTAAAAAACACGTATTGGTAAAAATGCAGTGTCCCTCTGTCTGAGGCACTCAGAGAATGATCATGGTGGCCCTGAGTCTGGGGATCAGGGGCAGAGTTAAAAGCGTGAGAGAAACACGGAAGACGCAGCAGCCTCTGAGGACTGTGATTCTCTTTTTAAAATCTTTCTTCAAAAGAATCAGCAAAATGCGTGCTGGATTGGACTGGATCTGACAGCAAAGCAAACATCTTCCAGCTTCCTAGAAGATTGCTTCGTTAAGACACAGCCTCAGTTTCAAGACATTAAAGCGTGAAATAAAAAAAGGATCAACAGAGTACAGGCGATCCTCCAGGCAGGGAAAGACCATTTGCATAAAACTGCAGATATAACATACGTGACATCCTAAGTCCAGACTGAAAGCAACATTTTGCCTTTGGACATGGCAGAAGGTTCAGAACTGTCCCCTGCACTCAGCCGTCATGTGTGGGGCCGGAGCGGTGGGCAGGCTCCCCTTTGGGAAGGCGTCCTGAGCACCAGGTGTTCTGTGAAACACTTGTGAATTATTTTGCTCCATCTGCGCGGACCTCCAGGAGGTTGATGGTGTTAATTGTTCCCGTTTGCAGCCGATGAAACTCTTGTTCGGGAAGATTGAGTACCTTGCCCAGGGCACCTGGCGAACGAGTAGGTGAGGCATTGCTTGAAGGAGATTCGGAGCTCTTAGCCTCTGTCTACACCGCTGATGCTCAGCACGTTGTAGCCCTGGGGAGGGTGTGGTACCAGGTGAGGCGTGGCCACCTGCCTTCAGGTACCCGCAGACTGGCTGCACCAGTGAACAGGATGTGTACGGAACCACCAGATGAGAGAACAGCCTAAACTGGAAACTACATTGGGTGGGAAAGGCTGAAGAACTTCAGAGAAGAAGCTGGTTTGGGGAACAAAGTTCCTTAAGAGCTTAGAGGGTCTGAAGGATTTTAATAACCACAGCGGAAAGGAGAGAGCGTGGCCCACGTGAGAAGGGCACTCTGAGCGCAAGCACTGTGCCTCCCTGGGGTAACACAGGATGGGCTCGCTTTTCAATTTTTGGTTTGCACTGACTTTCCTGCCAGCAATGTCTAGCTGAGTTATTTTTGTAAACATTATAAATCCTGTTTGTGCCATAAATTCCCAGAGAGACATAAATGGAGCTTTGTTTTATGTTGTTGGTGGACTTTTTTAATCCACAGACTTGAATGTTTTTGTACTTTGACAAATATGTACTATTTAGCTAATTGTCCTCAATTTTAGAAACTCTCTTTTCTATAGTTGGGAAAGACACAGGGTTTCACAATAACTATTAATTTTTACTTGTACAGTTAGACAGTTTTCTTATTAGTCAAGAAGTCAAACAATTCTCTATGAGCATGACTGAAAGTAAGCATTAGTTCCCAAATTATGGCCAGTTCCTAGTGCAGCATTCCCTTACATTAAATCAGCAAATGGTGATTTTAAAATATGGACACAGTGACTATTTGCTTTTATTAAAAAACATAAGAAAACTGAAATTCATTCAGTCCTTCCTGTGGAGATAGTGCTACTTGATTTGCTGATTCTCAGAGTAAATAGTATGAATGAAAAGTAATTGTTACAGTCCAAAAACAAATTTGTATTCCCTCCCTTGTCAGATTACAAATTAAAGCTATTGAGATGAATTGCAGGGGACAGTGAAATAGTCATTTTGGATCAAAACACCATTCGAGTGGATATTTGACTCTCAGAATCTTCCCGGTCTAGTGAAGTTGTAACTCACTACCTTCTAATTCCTAGAAGAATGAGATAAAAATCTAATTAGGCAATTTGTGTAAATAATTGCAGTACAACAGGGAGAGTCGCAAAAGTTTCATCTCTGATTAACAGGTATGTTCAAGTAGGAATAAAAGAAAATTTTTTATTTTCAAAGAAAAAGGCCGGATGATATTTTTGTCCATCACCTTTGTCTTCTTTGGTGTTAATCCTAGGAACCTGTACCTGACTCCCAGGTTATCCAAGAGCTTCTGTACGATACTCGGGGAGCTTATTTCCACACATCCCCTCCTGGCCTGCGATTGCTCCTTGTGAGCGTTTTCTGTGATTCTTCTAGAAACCAGCATCTTGATGGTG